AAAGCTCACGAGTGCTAAAAGACACATTCAACTCCACAAGCAGGCAACCAGCTCAGCCGCACAGGACCCCTCACTCAGGAGGGCCCCGCACTTGGGAACTAATGCTCCGTGGTCACCATCTTAAAGCTCTCGATAATTTCATCTTTGAATTTATGCTTGCTAAGTGAGGTCCAGTGGGACCGTGGAGCATGCGCTGGGGGTCACACCTCCCACCACCTCCTCTCCTCTCCAGGATGGGTTCTCAGCTCTCCATTCCCCATCCCCTGCAGCCCTGGGTCCCTCAGAGCCTCTCCTTCTCCATCTAGTGAAAACGGCCACCCTCAGTCCCTAGCAGGGTCCTGTGCACAGACACAGGGAGGGTGAGGGTTGAACATGCAGGCTCTGGGTGTTTCCAGGTGGAGTATGGCTATGTCATCCCTGTCCCCAGCTGGTGGCAGTCAGGTGCATACCATGGTGATCCAGGGAACTGGTGGGGAGACTGCAGTCCCCATGGGTTGCCCATGTGCCGTGGACTAGGCCAGAGGGTTCAAGCGAAGGGGGCTACCTGGCTCAACTCCCCGGTCCCAGCTGGGTCCCAGTACACTGGGCAGGTTAGAGAGGAGCCCTGAAGTCAGTGGGAAGCACACATGCACCACACTGGGGGATGGGCTTGAAGCTCTGCTGAGGGTCTATTCTCACTCAAGGAGCAGCCCCATGGCCAAAGGAGCGGCATTAAATAGTAAATGAAAAACGCCATGATAGGCTGAGAAAGAGGCCACAGAAGAAAGGTAAAAAAGCTTTATATTTTCATACCTTTAAAGAACAGATTTTTCCGACTTTTTAAACAAGCATCCCACACGTTCATTTTACCCTGAGCTCTTCAAATTACAGAGCCAGTCCTGGTTTCTCTTACCTGTAACCAATGGAGTCCTAACTAGCACACTGCATGTCTTTCACACAGCTCTGTATTTTCAGTAATTCTTCATAAGCCTTTTATGCATGAGATAACACCATTTTGTAAATTGTTCCATTGGGTTGGAAGCATTGGCTCAAATCCCCTTTCCACACTGGACAGTGGGATCTCCAGCGACCCTGCTTCATTGGCCTCTTGCTCCCTTGGTGCCTGGGGCTGTGCTCCAGACACAGAATTCACATCCACTGCATGTTTACGGAACAAGTGTCAGTACCATCAGTCATTAAGGCAAGACGGTTTTCAAGGATCATCACCTCTTCTCCAGCCCTAATGACAGACGAGAGATAAGGCTTAGGCTGTCGGCAACTTACCGACAGCTGCCTGGTGGAAGCTCCCCTCCAGTTCCAAGTTAACACAGGACCGGAAAGCAGATAAACACTCTTCCACAGACAGTCCCAGCCTTCCTGCCTGGTGGTGTAAATCTGATCTGAAACAGTCTGCAAGTGTTTTTTTTTTCCATTTAACCCCAAATACCAAAATATTTATCAACAGATGTTGCATGGTTTCAAAAGTTCTTTAGTCTGTTCATCAAAAATGTGTGCAATTTAAGTATAGCTCTCAAAGATATGTATGTATGTGCATGACTGAAACACTGCTGCACACCAGACATTGATACAACATTGCAAACTGACTATATTTCACTAGAAAAGAATGCAAAACAATACATAAATACAATGAAAAGCATCGATTACCAAAAAAAAAAAAAAGCAGAAAGGGGAGAGAGACAGTGCACTGACAGTCTCTAGTTGGAATATATTAAGAGAGTGCCAGATGGTTTAATGATCAACAACCAGGGAGGAAGAACAACAGTGGGAGAAAAACAAGGAAAAGGAAGAAAAAAGGGAAGAAAAAGAAAGAAGAGGGGAAGGGAGGAGAGGAAAGAAATTAAAAGCAGTCACACTAACTGGGTTAAATCAGATTCAACTATGACTTATTACCTGTGCAACAGAACAATGCTATCAACCTCCAGGGTGACGGAATTAAAGGAGGTAACATATGTGAACACACCCAGCAAGGTGTCTGGCACATACTTGGTGACTGTTGTTGAAGCGGAAAGAGTATTTTTCATTTATGTGAGAAAAACCAAACAAAGCAAAACTCCTTCCGTGGGCGTCAGCCCCCAGGAAAGCCCATTAGAGCGAATTCACACCAAGTAGGATAGTTCAAGGAACTGCCTCCTTGGGTTTTGCTTGTTAACAGAAGCGTTAATGCCGTTTGTTTCCACCCAGATGTAGTCAACTCCATGAACACCACCAAGCCTAGGAAAAGTTTTTTAAACATTAAAGAAAAAAAAATTAGTTCAAGCTAGTTCTCCTCGCCCGACTCCCTCTGAAAATGATTCTGTTTCAGGTGGAATAGTCAACTATAAAACGTACACCCTGAAACAGAGATGTGTGTTTGGGAACGTGGCTTCAACTCCTGAACTGCCTTCTCCTTCATCACTGTACCACCAATAACACTCTCTTAGCTTTCATAGCACTGGATATTTTAAAACACATCGATACATGCCCCCTTAATAATTCTTTGCAAAAACACAGTTGGATAAACACAAGTGATAGTAACCCAAATGTAATACGTAACAACATGGAAGTGACAACTTCCCAGTGACGAAATCAGGCCTACGCCCCAGTTCTCCAACCCCTTTGTCTAATTCTTCAACCACACGACAATGCCTCCCCACGCACTGCTGATGAAACGCAGGGTTTTCCAGATTTAACCGAGATCAACGCGATTGACCATGAAAATTACTTTAAAAAAATTATTTCCCCTAATTCATAACTTTCAAGGCAAGATGTATTTTCAGAGTCTGCAGACTCCAGGAACATTATTTGAACTCCTATTTTTCATAGTTGGGGTTTCCAAATTCCACAAAGGTGAAGCCACATGATCACAGTGGCATGAGAGGGCTTGGTGAACACAAACTCACTGACCTAATGCGATCAATACTATTTATGAGGTAACATCATTCTGAAAAAAATGCATTCAAATCAAATTCCTACGTTACTCCTCAGATTTACAGCATTCACCTGCAGATACCAGCCATGGCTTGATAATCTATGCAACTGTATTCATGCTTATGGTTTTTATTCTGATTTGGAAATATTTTCAAGCCTTCTTTCATAAGCTGAGCACTAGTTTCTCTATTGGTCTCATGAACTTTAAAAAACACACAACTATTATGTGTATAAATCCCCCTTGTAAGACACACAAACAATATTGAATTCATAGGAATAAGTGAATGTGTTCTCTCTCTCTCTCTCTCACACACACACACACACACACACACCCCCTTCATGGGTTATAAGGTGAAAAGTCTGCACGGTTCCTGTCTCAATGTATTCCCACAAATATCTGGATAGATATTTACAAATAAACAACTAGCCAGGTGATGATACTTTATGTATTGTCCTGTAATTTGATTGTATTTATTTTTCTTTTTTTCTCAAAAATATGTCTTTCAATGTAGGTGCGTATATGCATGTAAATTATGTGTACCTACACACACACACACACACACACTCAGAATTTCAAACCACTGTATTCTAGTCCATGAAATGATACTCCAAATAAATTAAATCATTCCATTACTGACAGATCATTTGGCTGTTTCTAGTTTTCAGTGAATACAAATAACGCAGCAAAAACATCCCTGTATGTGTATTTCCCCCTTGAGGGGCGTGGTGTGTAGAGCACATTTCAGGAGGTAAAGTCAATGGAATCAAGAGAGCCCCCTATATTACCCTTCAGATTTACTTTAAATGTAGATGGATTTTGTCAAATTGCCATCAAAAAGTCTCACTGATTTATACTGTCAGTCTGTATGAGGCTGTTTACCCCAATCCCACCAACATAGAATAAAATCATTCTTCTAAAACTCTCAGCTAATTCAGGAATACGGTGACTTAGTCATTATTCATTATTTCCCTCATTACCAGCATGTGATGATCTCTGCAGAACAATACCGATAACATGCTGTGCATCCATGGGCAAGTTACCTACCCTCTCTGTATCTCGGTTTTGTGACCTTTAAAATGGGGGGTAATAATAAGAATGCCTAACTTGAAGGGTAGTTTCCTGGCTTTCTGTACATTTTGCCTCTTTTTCAATGTGATTGTGCCTCTTTCCTCTTTAGCTGATTCGCTCAGTTAACAGGTATTTTATGATTGCCTACAGCGTGCCAGGCACCATTCTAGTTGCTGGAGACAGAGCAGGAAGATGCGACCAAGCAGTCACTCTCACAGGGCTTATGTCCCCACAGGGAGGTAGACAATAAAAAAACAAGCACATGAATGTATAATTTTCGGTAAGGCTGTGTTAGTAAAGAAAAAATTAAGGCAGTATGGGGCTGAGAAGAAACAGAGGACTATTTCAGATAAAGCGGTCAAAGAAAATCTCTGAGTATGGAGGACACGTGATTGCAGACCTAGAGGAAATGAGCATGGGGTCTGAGGGGACCACAAGCGCAAAGCCCCGAGGTCAGCATGTGCGAGGGTAAACGTGGAATCATGTGCTGGTGCACAGGGAGTACAGGGGAGAGAAGAGAGATGTGGTTGAGAGGAACCAGGGACCAGATTCTCTTTAGCCAGAAGGAGGAATGTGAATGTTACTCTCAACACCACCAGAAGCCAGGTCACTGGCCTGCAAATTGCTGAACTGCTCCCAACAGAGAGCAGTTAAAACTTTAAGCCTCCTACCTACAGCAGTGCCCACTTGCCCTCTTCTGAGCAGGGCTCACAGGGAACAGAAGCCCATGTCAGCCATCAGCACATCTACCCCAACCACAGGTCAACAGGCAGAGGTGCACAGAGCCGCCCCGCTGTGGAACAGTGCCCCTGACCCACAATCACAATCTTTTCCTTCCACCTAAAACATAGATTCAAAGCATTTTTCTTCTTCTCTGACACACAGCGCCCTTACCAGTGTCAGACCAGGGACAAGAATCCTGGCAAGCTCAGTTACCAGAACGGCACAAAGGGTCTACCCCAGGACCACCGAGAGCCTGGGCGGGGCGGCAGCTCACAGCTCTCCCCCACAGCGGCCAGCCTACCTCTGCAGGTGGTCCCGTTCCCCACGTAGCCCGGTTTGCAGGTGCAGCTGTGTGCCGGGACAGTGTTGGTGCAGATGGCATTCTCATCGCAGTTGTGCTGCCCGCTGCCACACTCGTCGTGCTCTGCAGGGTGAGAAAGAAAGACACACCTGTTTGTAAGTTGGCATCACTGGTGTTGGAAAAGTTAGCTGGAGCTCACTAAGTCAAGATGACAGTGACAACTGTGCACTGGAAACTTACTAAATGCCTGGCAGTTTCAACCCCTGATACGGCTGATAGCTCGACAACTCTCAAAGACGGGTGTTGTCATCCTCACTTTGCAGGTAAACAAACAGCATCAGAGAAGTCAAGAGACTTACACCAGACACAACATAAGGGCTGCTCTAAGCTCATGGCTTCTTCCCTGTCCGAAAAGGTTTCTGCAGCGGCTCCAGGGCAGTGCTTCTCAGTGGAGGTGGGGGAGGGCAATTTTACGTCCCCTCCTCCTGGAAACATCCGACAATGTCTCGGGATATTTTTGGTTATCGGGCTTTGGGAAAGGAGACGCTACTGAAATCTCATGGATGGTGGGCAGGGACGCTACTAAGCTTCTTACAATGCACAGGACAGCCCACCCCAAAAAGACTTAACCAGCCGCAAAGGTCAACAGTTTCCCGGTCGGGAAAACTTCCTCTAAGTTTAAAAAAAGAGGAAAGAAAAACAGAGCCACACGAGAGGTGCCATGGTATCTTCAGAACATACTGGTTGGAAACCCTAGGAGCTTTCTGGGTGCAATGAAACTAGCCTTCATACACGGAAGGCAAGGAGAGACCAAAGAAAGAGGCAGACCACTCCAGACTGGGAGGCGGCAGGTTCAATAAGCAAAGGAACTTACATACGAGGCTGGTCTTGGGCGTCTGCAAGACCAGTCGATCTCGGCACCCACCCACCAGCATCTTAAACACTCCTACAGAGGCTTTATTCGCTTTCAGTCACATGTAACACCCTGATGGTCTTAACGCCACCTTGCTCTCTCAAGGTTGGGTCCTTGAAACAGCTCCAGCTACAGGAACAGTGGGTGGAATGTACGTGACAAGGAGTGGGTATGGAGGCTCCAGCTGCCTGGGTCCAGCTCGCGGGCCCATCACCTGTCACGTACCCTGGGTGCCTTTCTCCAACACAACAAAGAGGGTAATGCTGAAGAGGAAGTCCCAGCTAGGACAGTGGGGGCAGAGGTGAGTTTCCTCCAGGAATTTTCAAGGGAGCAGCACTGGTCACAGGGAATGTTGATGGGCACAGGGTGAGCAGGAAAAGGATTTACTCTCAGGACCCTGTGCGAGGGTGTTGAGCAGTTCAGCTCCCGGTTTCATACAGCCCATTTTCACAGGGTGCAGCATGGAACCACTGGCTGACGCCTGATGTGTAGTAATATGGTTATATATTCAAATGGCAGCAGCGTCCTTAATCCATAAGTCCTGGGGTGGAGGTGGGGGAATAGATCTCACACTATAAAATGGACTGAAAGACGGCAAGTTAGAAATTCAGATTTCACGGGTAACTAGACTCTCCTCTCATCACCAGGAAGTTTAAACGTTCCACTACAAGACTCCTCTGTAAATAAACAGTATGACAAAGTGTATGCCCTTCATTCCCATTAACATCTGCTTCTATAGCTTCTTAGAAATTTTAAGAAGAAAAATCAAGTAGGGTTATTTAAGTCGTAAAAGGTTATAAAAACAAAGAGTTGAAATCCCAGCTAGAAACCTCAAAGAAAATCACACTAATTGAACAAAACTAAAAGTTAATGTAGTTTGTTAAGTGAACTGTTAGGTCAGTGTGGCAATCAGTGGAAATATCTATCCACATTAGTTTTTAATTCTAAATTTCCTAACAGTGGCCAGTAATGAGAGGGGTTCAGTTCTACAAAGTGGAGCCGTTTCAGTCACCCACATGCAACCCATGCAAAGTACACACACGCATATGACTCCTGATGTAACACCTTGGGTTCCTCCCAAGTAAAGTTCTCTTCAGGCCTTAAGACTAACCCCAACTGTCAGCGAGAAACGCGCACAAGTTAGGAAGCAGTGAGAAGGGAGGAGGAGGTTTATGAGGACACAGCTTTAGTCTGCGCGCAAGTCATCTCCAGCATACTCCAAAAACAGCATCCCCCTGCGGATGTCCGATGAAATTTACAGACCTAACAAGCACCGAGTATATGCAGGTGCAACATCAGACGATGTTAGGGACACACACACAAAGTCTAAGCCTACAGGCTTAGACGCCAAGAGTTTTCAATTGCCTTACTTAAATCCATTTAATAAATAATTATTAGCATCTGCATTGGGAATACAAATGAGTAGATATGGTCTCTGCTCACATGAACATTTTAATAGAAGCCACCAGATGCTTTACCCCTGTCACTCAAAAAAAAAAATTCAGGAACATCAAATGAAATGACTTTTCATCGGAAATTTTCTAGTGTTTGGTAACTTTGTAGAAGTGCAACTCGAAACTATCTAGCACCTCTGGGACACAGAGTTCCTGAAACACTTCTTTTTTAGATTTACTTACAGGAAGACTTGTTTTCCTCTATAAAGACATTTTTTTCTCTTATTTAAATGCTTCTTTACTGCCTCGTGGCTATGCCAAAGATGTTAACTGGCTGTAAAATGCAAACACACTTTCAGGTATTTATTGATTTGATTTTTTCAAGACTTCTATAAGAAAATGCATTTGACTTATGCAGCGTCCTCTGTTGGGTCTGCATTCAGACCCAGTCCTTCTCTAGTTCTTGAAGAATGACCCACCCCTCCCCACCCCCCATTTACCGTGTAACATCAGGAGACACATCCACCCTATTTCTGATTGACTGGAGAATATGAAAACTACACGGCATTTCAAATTTATGTTTTCGGTTCCCAACCTCTTTGAAAAGGCAGGTCAATGAACTATTTGCAACATGAAAAAATCACTCCATGTATCTATCCAGTTTTAACTTGTGCATTTTCACGTATTAGTAGTCAAAGAATCAGACTTTTCCCCATTATTTCATGTTTAGGAGAGATGACAAAAAATAAACTGTCAAGGGTAGGCATCAGAGTCATATTCATTCTAATTGTTTAAATATTACAAATGACTATCACTCCTCAGTGATAAATGGTTTAAAAACAGAGACTGAAAGTCCTGCAAAACTCTTAACAAATTCCTAGGTGTCCACTTTGCTTTCTCTCTTTGGACTGGAAAATGGGTGAGTACCTTTTGTGATACATTTGCCCAAAGAGGTAACTGTAACAGCTCAAATTCTAGGCCTGATGTAACCCCTGCTGACTAGACGTATTTACTGAGCCATCAAAGTGTGACCCTGCCCCCTTCTTTGGCATTCTTTTTAAGTGTCTGAGACAATTCTGGTACAGAATCTAAGGAAACCACTACTTCATAAAATCCCCACAGGAAACATCCATTTTTAAAATCTGTCACTACAAAGTGTGCCCTTTAACTGTGACCATGCATCTACGAAAAATTTAGAACATGGAAACGGTACCTCCAGAACAGTACACGTTGCTATGTGTTGTTGAATACAGCAGCAGTGATAACCAACTACAGTAACTGTCTCATGTTCACTTTTCATTCCATACACACACAGACACACGCTCAGTGTACTCCTGACCTCAATAAGAGAAGCCAGCTGACCCCTGAACAACACAGGTTTGAATTGCACGGGTCCAGTTACACGTGGAATTTTTTCACAAAATCCATGCTACAAACTACACGATCTATGCGGTTGGTTGCACCCACAGATACAGAGGAACCATGGAGACAAGAGCCAATTATAAATTCTAAGCGGATTTTCGACTATGCAGAGGGCTGGCACCCCTGACTCCCTTGTTGTTCAAAGGTCAACTGTACTTGAAAAAGCAATCAGGACAATTAAGTCTTAATTTTATCTGCCCGGAAGTATCTATTCAATTGTGCGTTCAATCAAAATGTACCATAAATATTTGTGAAATGTTTAATCATTAGCCAGCAGTGCAACGAGAACTTTGCCATTCCACTTACTGAAAATTAATACCCCTTTAAAAACACTCAAAATGTGTGAGTGGAGGTAGGATAATCACAACCCGGCCAAATAGGTGATTCTTCCACTTCATCCTCAGTTGAATTAAATAAATATCAGTGTGTTTACATTCAGATATTATGAGCAAAGGCTGCAATTAAAAGATAATTTGGAATAAAGAACCATAATTATTGCCACATAAACAGGAAACGCAAAATAAAATATAGTATATCTAAAAGAAAAAAATATTGTTTATTACCAATCAATGGAATTAATATCACCTATTTCCTGAAATCAAATGGTGTCTCATATTTAAAATTTTGTCTTTTTTCATCTATCTTTGACATACCTCTTAAGACCATATGGAATGTGTCAGTTAAATTCCAACGAGTTATATTTGAACAGTACTTTAGTTTAAAAAATTAAAGTTAAGGCAGTTTCATTTGCTTCTCACGTGGATTCTGTAAGAAAGGCAAGAAATTCCTATTGTCCTCATTTTGCCTGAGACATAACTCAGGTCTCCTGACTTCTCGTCCAAAGACTGAGCATCACCAAGAGTAGATACAGCGCCCTGCATCAGCACTTGTATCCTACAACCACGGTAAAAAGGATAGCACTGTTATAACATTATTTTACAAAATGAGGAACTGAAGCACAAAGAAATCAAGGGCGTTTAAGTTTCCTACTGCTGCTGTTACAAATTACCAACAACTTAGTGGCTTATAACAATACAAATTCATTGTCTTTCAATTGTGGAGGTTACATGTCCAAAATGGATCTCACTGGGTTGAAATCAAGGTATGAATAGGGCTATGTTCCCTTTGTGTTGTGGAAGGGGGTGCAGGGTAGAGGGGGAGGTTCTAGAGAAGAATGTTTCCTTGCCTTTTCCAGCTTCTAGAGGCTGCATGAATTTCTTGACTCATAGTCCCATTCACTCATCTTCAAAACCAGCAACGTCCAGCTAACTCCTTCTCATGATGCCACCTGTCTAGTTCTCTCTCTTTCACTTCCCTCTTCTGTTGACAAAGACCCTTGTGATTACACTGGGACAACCCAGAAAAGCTAGGATAATGAAGCCATCTCAAAGCCA